ACTTGCAAAAAATGTTGAATCGTTTGTTGCGAAAGTCACTGTTAATGTTTAGCTCGAAATTACTGTCCATTGATTTGATTATCAGGGCGTAATCGCACCGTTTCTTTGTTTCTGCACGTCTAAGGGGGAACTGTTTAGCAGGCAACTGCTTTTTGGAATTTGAGCTACCGCAGGTATTTAGATGCTGTGCAACGTCACAATGCTCGGTTGAGTTGATGCACGTTCTAACATCGACTGAAATGAGCATAGCGATGGCCGCTCATACATCAACTGGTAAACGTCATAATTAGCCAGCACTTGGAATGATCACTGATGGCATGATGTTTTTGGCAGTCGCCTTAGAACATCAGGGTGATTACTTTGTACGAAATGTTTAGCTGAGTTAGGAAATGATTTCCCAATGCTGTTAACCTCAGCGTTTGCAATAAGGAATGCAATGCAACTATTTGTTAAGAGGAGCGAAGAGGTGTCTCGAAGATTTAGTTAATGCCAGAACGCCAGATCTTACAGGGCTTGCGCGTCTAACTGGCGTATTCATGTGCTGTTCTCTTCCGTTTCCTGATATCCGATTTTTAGTTACAGTGCCACGACCGGTTAGCAGTATGCTTTGCGTTTAAAAGTGGCACGTTTATATGCTCGAGTGCAAACATTTTTTCCTGCTAGTTTTCTTGAACACAGAACTCGTTTACTGTACTTTAGTGCAATCAGCTGACCAACGAGTAGTGAGTCGTTTACCTTCCAATGATGGGTCTAAATAGTGCTCCGATACGGTGATGCACAGGTGCATGTGAAGCAGCGGCCATGTGGTCCGATGGGTGTGCTCTGACCCGCCTGACAACTGACTGAAAAGGGAATTTCAATATGAAACGTACGTTTAAAATTGGACATATCAATCGAATATAATTATAATGTGTAGAAATATCAGCGCAGCCTCACTTAAGAGTGGCGGTGGTCGTTTGCTTATTCTGCTCGCTAGAAATTCAGACGTTGGTTAACGTCTGTTTTGGACAGGTTTTCAAAATATGATTAGACAACATTATAACTTTATAACTAAAATTGCTAGAGCAACGATTTTTTTCTAAATATTACAACGCGCACAACAATAGGAACTATGCCTCATAATTCATTTGACTTGTGAAAGACTCCACAGTCGCTTTTGCATGTCAGAATGTTGATCGGGTTCGTTCATCCGTGCGTATTTGCTTTTCAGAGTTGCAAGCTTAGCACCTCTAAGCTGTGTCAACCACCGAGGCGTCTTATGGTCAACAGAAAAGCATTTACCTCAGTCAACGAAACTGGTTTGTCGAAAAAGTTCTCTTTAGTGTCAGTATGTATGAGGTTGAGGTAGTCCTTGATGTAGGTAAGAATTGGTGGCGGGGAAGCTTTCCTTGGCGCCATTGTTCATGCCATTGTGCAGCGGTCAAACGTTTTTCGACCGAAGTCAGCCGCGTATGACGATGTGGCGTCACAACCGATGCGTCCTGAGCAATCATTGGACTAAACGACTACGAGCTGTTAACTCAAGTGTGTGCCTTCGTTCGATGACTTTCAGATGGAGTGATTTTCAAGCTCGTTGCGTCTCATCCTTTCCTTTCATTGATGAGTATGGTCGTCTGCGGCGGCCTATGAACCATTTCAGTTCTCGTTGACGCCGTCCCGTTTAAGTCAGTCAGCCAGTCGGTCGCTGAGTCCCATGCCGTACCAATCGAGCGACAAATCGGCTGTGAGTCCACCTTTGTCCATAGGCTAAATGAATGCACGTTTGTCGATGAAGAGCCGCTGTGACTTAATCCTTTCTTCGAGCACGGTTCATAGTTCAATGCGCACCACGCTGATCGCCGCGTGCCTCTTTGCTTGTTTATTCGCCGGAGCCGGAAGTATCCTTTTGTCAGCCATCGACGCCTAATGCGATTAAGGTCACGTCAGTTCTGAGCGATCGCCCATCGTCGTTTTAGGTGATGTGCCGAGGTCGCCGCTGAACGGTCCGTCGTTGAAGCTGTCTTCGTCGTTCTGAACCACGACCTCAAAGAAAATGGCCCCCAGCACGTGGTTTAAACTTATTACCTTCTACTTGTTCCTTTCGACCCCTCTCGACCGACAGGTAGGAGATCAGAAGAGGCTGAAACGGTTTACTGGAAAATAAGACGTGGACTTTCAGGTTTTCGCCGGCGTAGTGTCCCATCGAGCGCTGAGGTTCTTCGGAGACCTCATAATGAGCCGAGAAATACACTACGCTCTTGTTGAGAACATACGTAATAAATTTTAGGATCTCTATGCAATCGTTACCGTCGCAAATAATCTGAAACGATTCTAGATGCCGACTCAGCGGCTCGCATTTGCATCCAGGAAGCCGTCGAACATCTGCAACAAAATACCTGTCTAAAGTTTGTCCGGGAAAATCCAGACGTTCTTTCTGAACAGAACCACTCATTTGCCTTGATGTTCACATATGCCAACAACAGAGTGTTAAGGTACATGGTTTCATTTCATTTCTGTAGTATATCACTCGGATTATTTGGATCGGTCAGTAGTAATCGGCGACGAATCGTGCCGGCTGCTACACGCCTATGATTTCTCACGGTTTCGAATATTCTCTCTCTTTCTCCCTTTCCGGGCGCGGCGTTGCGAGAGATCCTTGATGTAATTTTTCTACCTTGGTGGAGGGCGACCAAGCGATCTAGTCCACGCATGAGCGTACCAGTCGACGATCAACACCGACCATCTCCAGTTCGTAAGCCGAGTAACTTTTCTCGCCCAAAGTAGTTTCTCTTTCCTGCTTTCGACGGCGAGGTCCTTCACACCTGTCCGCTGCTGATTACCATGGATGCGAAATGCGATTCCAAGCATTTTTCTTTTCATGGTTTTCTTGGTGATAAATAGCCGGCGATTTTCGCCTTTAGTGAGTGACCACGTTTCATAGCCATTCGACATTTCCGGAAGGGTGGTAGAATTTGAGGTTGGTGGGGCCTTTTTCCTTTGTGTTGTAGCGAATGGCATTCACGATGGAATGGAACGCGCCCAAAAGGCCCCCTTTTCTCTGTTGGATCTCGTTTGCCGCAGGTAAATGTAATTTTTGACATCGATTACCTGGCCCTTCGGCACTGTATCTGGTCGCAGTAGTTTCCTCTTCGATTCGCAGACTGACTTCTGCACTCTTTTCTAGTTCTTTTAACGGATTGGCGCTTTCAAAAAATGCCACGCCATCTGCGAACCTTAGTTGGCTGTTCACGTTGTTCACGATACAAATGTTCACGATTGATGTTAATCCTATTCACACAGTGCATCCGCCGGAAGATCATTTCCAAACAGACAATGAAGAGCTTGCGGAAGATGTATCCCATTCTTCTGGGAGATGTATCCCATGCTTCACGCCCTTTTCTACGAAAATCCGGAGTGTGATGTTGAACAGCTCGATTCTGGTGAAGCAGCCAAAGCTTGCTTCCGTTACCAAGTTTGTGTAACTGGCGTCAATACCCTATTCTGTCAATACAATCCACTCTGTGTTGAATTCAACAGTGTCGACCGCTTTGTTTTCGTCCACAATGCAATGGACAAAGAGAGTTAGCATTTCCTCACGCCTTCGAAAAGTTGATTTAAGGTGAAGATAGTATCCAGGTATCCGTGGTGCTGTATCTCCTTAAGAATCCTCCATGTACTTTTGGCAACTATTCGCCCATACTCTTTGATTGTCTGTTGGTTTTAAATTTAGTGGAAAGCTTGTAGACTTGTAAGATGAAGCAGATTGGGCGAAAGCTCTTAAGATCTGCTTAAATCGTAAGATTGTTTTAAACTATTTTCAGCGCGATAGCGTTTTTACAGCTTCTAAGTCGTAACTGGCCCTCTAGCTAGAATCCACAATGTCTGACTACGTGCTTTGGTTATTTATATTTTCAGACCGTCTGTCCCTGTGACTCTTTACTCTCTCATTTCCTCCGCGACATGCTGGATTTCTGTGATGAAGACCGGGAGTTCACTTCCTTCTGGCTGTTAAAATGATGGCCAAGGGACGTCACGGACTTAAAGCGCTGAGTGGAAAGGCTCTTGCAGATGGATTGCATATCAGCTGTTTCAGAGGTTCTGAAACGTTCTATCTTTGTTCTTCAACGCCTGATTGTCGATTGATTAAATGCTGACTTAGTCTTGCACTGTCTGTGACTTTTGCGGTCTCTAAACCCTCCTTCAGTTTCCAACTAATGAACTTACAGATCACAGAGCTTACAGTACAGTATTCCAACGTGTTTGTCTCATCTACCTTGTTCCAGCGCTTCTGTAGCAGCTGTTTGTTTTCTCTGAGATCCTTCCTTTTCTACTCTGATGTACTACTTCTGCTGACATTACGAAGCGTTTCTGTATCTCAGCGAACTTCTCGTAGTCGTCGTTGCAGCTGCCTCTCATGCTGCAGTCTTCACTGGAAATGCTCAATAGCACCGCCTCGCTTTATGCTTTCGGTAGATGTTTGTGACTTGCCATCTGCAACGTTTTCCTCTTGAATTTCTTCTCGAAGGTTCGCCTGACCCGCACCCTTCTGTGGGTCTTTCCTTTATATCAGATGCTGTTGTGTTTATCGAACAAGGCGAAGTTCAGCTCGTTCATTGTCGCCGCGTTGGGCGAGATTCATGTCCACCTCTGGTTGATCTTCTTCTTGCACTAAGCTGTTGTCAGTGTACAGATGTTCAGTTTGTGCCGTGGTTACCAGCCGATCTCCTCGCTCATTTCACTCTCCCCTGCCGTCCTACCGAAGAACTTCTCACCTGTCCGTCCTCCTCTGACCTCAGCATGACCTCTTAAATTACGAATGTCTGCGTGGAATTTGGGACTAATGGCTGTTCCAGTTCTTGATGGGCTTCGTCTACTTTCTGTTAGTCTGCTGTACTTAAAGGAACGTATATTTTGAAGATCTTCTGGTTCCTCTGCTTGTTCAGTTAAACTCTCAGCACGTTCAGTCTTGGTGACTTATCCTAGTAGAATTCGATTTTGGATAGCGAACTTTTACTGACTGCAAAATCTGATTCCTCCCGTTTTCTTCAGCCTCCCTCCTCTTTATAATTAAATCGAACTAACGTTTCAGGAGACAACTGATGTTTCAACATCTTGTCTCGCAGAAGCCAAGGAAGTCGCCAGCGATCTATGATCTTTCCCATTCGTTGGTTTAACGTTTCTTCCCTAGTCAGTGTTCTACAGTTGTAAGTGCAAACGGTGTCCAAGTCCGTTTACCAGATGACGGCCTTCTACCTCGGACTCTTAGAGTGTTTCGTAAGTCGAATGCGTAACCACCGCTGCGGAACGGATCGAGTTGCGACAGAGTGCTGAGGCACATTTATTAATTTCATATTGTATGA